ACACTCGCTATACCCAGGTGTACAGCAGTTCTGAACAGCCACGTTATGAACCAATGAGATCATTCCACCTCACTATTCGTGTCCCCGAGTTGTTTGTTACACTGTGGACTACTGAGAGATCCTGTTTCTCCAAGCTTAGATGTCCTTCCTAAAACACCGAAAGAATATGTCCTATGCTGAAAGAGGCGATTGTGCTATGCTGAAAGGGGCATTTATGACATGCTGAAAGAGGCATTTGTGCCATGCTGAAAGAGGCATTTGTGCCATGCTGAAAGAGGCATTTGTGCCATGCTGAAAGAGGCATTTGTGCCATGCTGAAAGAGGCATTTGTGCCATGCTGAAAGAGGCATTTGTGACATGCTGAAAGGGACATTTGTACCATGCTGAAAGTCATTTGTGCTATGCTGAAAGAGGCATTTGTGCTATGCTGAAAGAGAAACTTGTGCTGTGCCGAAAATGGCTCTGGTGTTATGCTGAAAGTGGTACTTTTTCTATGCTGAAAGAGACACTTGTTCTATGCTGAGAGACACATGTTATATGCTGAAAGAGACGCTTATTCTATGCTGCGAGGCACTTGTTCTATGTTGAAAGATACACTTGTTCTGTGCTGAAAGAGACACTTGTTCTGTGGTGAGAAATACTTGTCCTATGCTGAAAGAGACATGCGGTGCTGAAAGTCATCTGTGCTATGCTGAAATTAGCACTTGTGCTGTACTGAGAGGCACTTGTTCTATGCTGAAAGTGGCACTTGTGCTATGCTGAAAGTGGCACTTGTGCTATGCTGAAAGAGACCTGTGCTATGCTGAAAGAGACACTTGTGCTATGCTGAAAGAGGCACTTGTGCTATGCTGAAAAAGGCACTTGGGCTATGCTGAAAGAGGCCCTTGTGCTATGCTGAAAGAGGCCCTTGTGCTATGCTGAAAGAGGCCTTGTGCTATGCTGAAAGAGGCCTTGTGCTATGCTGAAAGAGGCCTTGTGCTATGCTGAAAGAGGCCCTTGTGCTATGCTGAAAGAGGCCCTTGTGCTATGCTGAAAGAGGCCCTTGTGCTATGCTGAAAGAGGCCCTTGTGCTATGCCGAAAGAGGCCCTTGTGCTATGCTGAAAGAGGCTCTTGTGTTATGCTGAAAGAGGAACTTGTGGAGGAGTGAAATTTGTGACCAGTGTCGAGGCATCAGTATTCTGCTGTTCTTGTCACTTGTACCACGAGATTCCTGCACTTATGTAGCAGGTGTGGTCATTGCCAGGCAGGTGTGTACCAGGCAGGTTTGGGCAGTGCCTAGTAGGCGTGATCAATGCGAAGCAAGTGTGTGCCAGGCAGGTGTGGTCAGTGCCAGGCAGCTGTATGTAGTGTCAGGCAGGTGTGGTCAGCGCCAGGCACGTGTGCTCATTGCCAGGCAAGTGTGTGATAAGTAAGGCGTGGGTAGTGCCAGGTAGGTGTGGTCAGAGAGAGAGAGAGAGGTGACATAAGTGGTAGACAGGTGTGGATAGTGGCATAAAATTGGGGAAAGTTCTAGATGTGGTCATTGTCAAACAGCTGTGGTCAAACAGGGTTGTCCTAGGCAGGTGTGGTGTGGTCAGTGTCAGGCAGGTGTGATCATTAGCTGGCAGGTGTGGTCAGTGACTGGCTGACCAGTGTCAGGCAGGTGTGGTCAGTGGCTGGCTGGCCAGTGCCTGGCTGGTGTGGTCACTGTACTTGATAGAACACCAGCGCTCTGCCTCTCTAGTAAACACTACCACTGTCACCTGCCACAGTGGTCTCTACCACTTACCTCCACTACTTCCCTGCTCTCTCGCTCTTCCTAGTAACTTCACAAATCTGCCGTCACTAATACCCACCAGACTTCCACTGCCACTTACCCCGCCTCTATCGACTGCCACTTACCCCACCACTATCGCCACCAGTATCTCTTCCTACAACCATTCATCGTATAGCAGCACCCGATACCAAGGTTTGCTCCTTCTACAAGTACCATCTATCATCACAACCACTTCTACAACCATAATCACAACAATCACAACTACCACAACTACTACCTCAATAACACTACGATTATATTTCACTCCTAACACCACTACCACCACCAGAATCATATTTCACACTAACCACCACCACTGGTATCCACCACCACCACTAACCGCCACCGCCGCCACTAACCGCCACCACTGCCACCACTAACCGCCACCACTGCCACCACTAACCGCCACCACCACTAACCGCCACCACCACTAACCACTACCACTAACCACCACCACTAACCACCACCACCAACCACCACCACCCACTTCTTCCCACCACCACCACCCACTACTACCCACCACATCAACCACTACCACCACATCAACCACTACCCACCACATCAACCACTACCCAACACTACAACCACTACCCAACACTACAACCACTACCCAACACTACAACCACTACCCAACACTTCAACCACTACCCAACACTTCAACCACTACCCAACACTTCAACCACTACCCACCACTTCAACCACTACCCACCACTTCAACCACAACTACCCACCACCTCAACCAAAACTACCCACCACCTCAACCATCACCCATCACCACAACCACTGCCCCCACCACAACCACTGCCCCAAACACAACCACTGCCCCAAATCACAACCACTGC